TGGGCATAAATACGAAGGCGTCTCGTGAGTGGTAGCTTCGAAGAGTTGCGCCAAGTGCCGCGGGCACCTTCCAGGTCGTCTGTAGAACTACCAGGACGGATTATGTGACGCCCACCCACCCACGCGATCCTACTTTTCTTCTTCTTCTTCTTCTTCTTCTTCTTCTGGTACGCATTAAAACAACGAGACAAAACCGATCGACAGTTTTATTAAAAAGGAACAAAGAAATCATTGTATTTAGTAACGCAACGAAATTTAAATGCTAAACGTTTTACGAGGGATTATTCTCATCAAAATAGAAATATCGTTAATAATGTTTTTCTTTTTTTTTAATTTGAAATTAAAAATGAATCATTTCTTCTCGGATGAATTCCGATGATGTGTCTAGGGTATTAATAGTCGTGCCGATGTACATATATACGTTGATCCGAATAATACGCGAGACGAGAGAAGACAGAACAATGAAGTACGGGGGAGAAATAAAAATGATTCCCGTCCGACGTAATAATCACGTTTAAGACGGGACTATCTTTGTTCGATTAATCAAATCGCGTGCTCTTTCTTTTACGTAGGCGTGAATCTCGGCAGGTCAGGAAGCAATACTTTCGACTCGGTAGTAACGGAGTAGGAAGGAAAAATACATTCCTTCGAATTCCCTAAAGAAATGGTAACGTTAATAACGATAATAAGTCTAGCGCGACAAGAATTTAAAGAAGGATCATCCATAAAAGATATTTATAATAATTAATATTAACAATGATAGAATCGCGAAGAAGTTGCAGTCTAGTTGCATTTAGAGTTGTTTTCCTCCTACCGAGTGTTGTTCTCGTAGGTTTAAACATCTGCATCCCAATGTCATGATATCACACTATGTTTCTATATATATGCCCACCTTGTATATACATATACCTGTATACATAGATTTTATATACGTATCTGCCTACGTAGATAGGTGGGTTGTAAGACGTCTCGGATAGGTAGAGTAAAGACGCGTACAAAGTTTGCGTACTGAAATCGTGTATTCGCTCGTTTACATTGCACATATGTGGATCGATCGATCGATCGATCGACAAGCTCGTCTCTACCAAATATTTATCTACTTCGTAGCATAGAAAGATGATATCAAACTTCGAAGTAAAGAAAACTTGCTGAATTTGCGTAACTGTCGTCTTTCAAAAATTTCTTTATCGATAGGTATGATAATAGGAAGTGTGTGTGTGTTTTTTTTTATCTTCGTGAGAAATGTGTTCGCGTACTTTTTTTTTTAGTTTTATTTAACAATCAATTTTATAATATAATAATTATATTACTGCAAACGGCGTGAACATCTAAGACAAATGTTTTTTTTTTGTTTTCTCTCATCTTTTTGTTGATTCGAAAAGACTTACAAAGACACTTCATGAGAAAAGGGAAGGAAGAATTAGCGATGGCAAGTACGAGGAGTAGAAAAAGAAGAATAAAAAGTAGAAAGAGAGTGGAAAACGTGATAAGTCCGTGGTAAGAGCACTTGAATTGAGACTGTGGTGACTGGTGGTGCCTCGGGCTGATATTACGCCGGACAAAGGCGAGTTTGCCATGGCCGCCAGCATCTTCGAAGTGTTGTACGTTCGCTCGCCTTTGGGACTTGCAATCGCACCGCGCGACCATAGTCGATTGCTTTCTGGTAGCATCTGCGGATAGCGTGTGGCCGTGGCTAATGTGATCTACGTTCGCGTAGCACACTCGCGAGTCGTTGGAGAAAAATCGTTAAAGTATCTGCTGTAGGTAGCGAAGACTCGAATCGACTACGTTCAGAGTTAATTTTCAAAAAATAAATATATATATATATTATTTGCTCTAAGATAAAGGAAGAAAGGATGATTTTATAAGCTAATAATATCAAGTTAAGGAAATTATCAAATTTTCTAATGAAATGATTAATATATTATAATTACTGATAGATATGTTAATATTAATACTCAAAGCCATCAGTAGCGCTTAAAGCTCGCCTTATAAACTAAATAAATAATCCGCAGCATCTGGTCTCATCGTATCTGCGTATGTGTCGCAAGCCGACTAATAAATCGCTCCCCACCCTAATAGCCGTGGGGGCTGCCACCTTTTGCTTTCTCTCTCTTTATTTTTTCCTTTCTCGCCGACGCGTGCTGTTCATACAAAAATGTAGGTAAGCATTTGCCGTAGGACCACGTAAATCATCGTTATTGTTCTTGTTGCTTTATCGTCGTCTCGTCTCTTTCTTTCCTTCTCTTGGTAGCTACCACTACGTTTACGTACAACGCCAGTCACCGAGAGATAGAGGTGTATATACGTAAGTACTTACTTGGTAGGTACCCATGGCACCATAGGGATTATCAGTATCTCAGCGTTCTTCGTGTATTCGAAGTACACACATATACACACATTTATTCATACCACCTATGTAAGAAAATACATACGTAGCAAACGAGGCGCTACGTTAAGTTAATTCAAGGGACCTCGCCTCCCAAGTAGTCACTGTAGAAAACGTGAATTGCTCGTCGGAAGTGCACGGATCGTTTCTGTATTATCTACGTTAGAAGAAATCACCGTGGTACCGGTGCTTGCCGTGTTTGTCGTTGACCATCATCTTCAACTTCGTTGTCATTCCTTGATAAAGCCACCACCGTCACCAACGACTAGCTAACTTTGATCAACGGGACAAGGGATTAGTGGTGACTCGAATATAAGTTAACTTCCAACAAAAATGACTAATGGTTTTCTTGGCATTGGAAGAGAATCAAGTTCGTGGATAATATCCCGTGCGTATTATGCATGCTAGCCTAATTTTATTGCGAACACTTTGGTTACGGAGAACTCGACTTACGAGCTTCGAGCGCGATTATTTACTCGTCGATCGGGATTTAAACGTAGCTTCGTTGGAGTTCGAGATCGAAGAAATATGATATTGTGAGAACGTCGAGATAATTTTATCTCTAGCGACTACCGACGCTACAATGACCATCGTGACGCTACCTTTTAATCGGCTTTACCGATGCGATTCGAACACGGAGTGAAAAATTTTGAAGCACGTCTCAATACACCCTAACATTGTTACATATTTTCTTTTTTTATATTTGATTATAATTTACGCGGTTTTTTCGTTCTTTACCACTAAAAAGATGAGCAAAACTGTGTATTAGTTTATTCGCAAAGTCTCATATTTGTTCGTGATAAAAGGAACGTTCTTATATTTAGAAAAGCCATAAGTTTGGATCGAAAATGTCGCTAGCATGCTTGACTCTTGGCCCAACAACGTTTTTAAGGAATAAGTTAAACATGTACCGAGTTCGACACGACAATGGCTGGAATGGTAGTCGAAAGTGTTTTCGCATAGAGTCGAGACTTGTTACGCGGGTGCATTTCGCATGGTAATCAGCATTTCATCGTCTCCCTTACGGCGTTTAACAGGGCCCCGGCTTCTTCTGCTTTCCGATTGGTACATATTCTGACGATTTACCCCTTGTGCCATAAAAGGCTTGTTGAATCTTTACCTCTTGCGTGGACAAACGAAGAAACAGCATTGCCACGGTTCCCTCGCTACACCGTTAACCCAACCCAACAACGTCATGGAGGATGGAAGAAGAAAGAGAGAAAGAGAGAGAGAGGAAGGTCGCGAACGATATCTACGACATGCCGATTCCGCATGAACGGGCAGAAAATACGACGCTGCATCGATTCCCCTCTCCTCTTCCTCCTTGTTCTCCTTCTTCTCTTACTCTTCTTCCTCTTATTCGTTTTCATCCTTTTCACGGTACAACCACTCGTTCGGTTCGGTTCAAATGTATTTATGACCCAGGAAACAAAATGGCAAGTGCACACAGTGGAGGCTCATTTGCAAGGTTTACCTAAATCTAAAACGCGTTAGAAAGAGAAAGATAGGAAAGATTGCCAAGATTGTCTATAGCATAGTCTCGATCACTCGCGAAAACTTGAAAATACATAGAAGCCTCTTTTTGTTGCGGGACTTTGAACTTAACTACAGAAGTTTACGAGTTTCTTTTTTCATTTTTTTTTTTTTATTAATCTTTCCGAACGAAGCTGTCGTCTTGATCGTATATAATTCATCAGATATTCTCTCTCTCTCTCTCTCTCTCTTTAGATATTTTGATTATTATTATTTTTCATTCTTTTGATATTCATGGTCGGTAGAGTCCTACCTAAGAGCGTAGGTAAGTTTGAATTTACATCGAGTTCAATTTATGAGGAATTTATTATTGATAGCAGATGTACTTACGTACGTATATACAAGATAGCATATTAGGTATCAGAATAATATGCGATCTTAAAAAGGCGATCTCTGTAGATCTGGGATCTACAAAAAAATACATACTATTTGGTTCGTGTACTTTCGTTTTGCTTTATCGAACACTTCCAAGTCTCAACTCTAAATAGATCTAAAAGTAAGATTAAGAAGAAGAAGAGGAAGAAGAAGAAGAAGAAGAAGAAGAAGTATGATTGATGAATAAGTGCAACAAGTAACATGAATAATGAATGAAAAGAACGAATCTTATGCCAAGTCTGACAGCTTTTTCTAATCGTTTCGGAATCATTTTGTTGTTGTTGTTGTTGTGTTTTGATGAAAAGATTAGTTTTTTCCTTTTTCATAAAATGCCACGCAAAGTCTCATGAAAGTTCATTTTCATGCCGCGAGATTTAGTCTAATTTCCCGTATGGTATCGTGTCATGGAAATCGCGCAATCGAGTTTAATAGAGCCACGACGTCCAAAGAGATTACCCTCGTTACGTCGTCACGATGACGACGATAGTGAGAGTAATCCTGAAGTCCCTGCAGCGTAACGCAGTTTCTCTCTTTTTCTCTTTCTCTTTCTCTTTCTCTCACATTAAAGAACGAAAGAAAAGAAAGAAGGAGAGAAAATATCGACTCCCATAAAACGATATTGAGGAAGGCTATTAAATCTTTTTTTATTTATTTATTTTTTTCTTATTACATTCTTATCTTTCTTCTTTCTATCTTTCTCTTTCTATCTTTCCTTCTGTCTTCGTTGAACGAACGATCGTTTTATAAAGACGACAATTTCCTTCGGTCTTTTGGTTAATCTGCAGCGTAACTCTGGTGACAATGTATTTTAATGCTTCGGCGCATGTTCCAAAACCGGTTGCCTAGAAGTAAGGTAGAAGTAATTGTTGGTCGAAATAGATGGAAGCTAGTCGATTACCGTTCGTACCGTCACACCCTGATACTCTTTCGACGGTTGGGCGTGTCACCTGGTCGTCTAGTGAATGCTACAAAATCTTGCACTCCGCACCTTCGTCCTTGTCATCGTACGCAGGTTCTCTGCAATCCGTGTAGATTGATATTTCATATCTAATCTATATCGTCGCTTCTTGTTACTTGTGATTTTCTCTCTCATCCAAGTTTATTAGATCCATCTACGCGATAAATTAATCATATGAAGAATATAATGTTTAAAGTTAAAGCAATAGCTCGCGAATATATTTTCACGTATGAATGGGTACTTTGAGAGGGGTGCAGTAATAATCGTCGTTTTAAACAACCCCATCTTTTTCTTCCCCATAGTCACTTCGTCTTCGTCGTTATTATTCGAGGTGGAGGAACATGTACGCAGGTACACAAATACTATGAACGTTAGGAAGGATGCCGAGCGAGGTTCTTTCGATGTGGGTGCGCCTTTCACGTGTGGTAAGGACGTTCGCTTGCTCGAACCATTCCGCAAGGAGACGAGGAGAGAAAACGACGGTAGATCGGCGCGCTTTCAGAGACGGTACGAGTAAGAGGAAGAGAGTGAAAGAGAGAGAGAGAGAGAGAGAGGGAGAGGGAGGTGGTAGTCAGAGAGAAAGAGAGAGAGAGAGAGATGGGGGGAGAAAGGTACGCGGCATGGGAAAAGGACGAGCGAGTGAGTAAGAAAGAGAAAGAGATAGTGATAGTTGGAAAGACGGAGAGAGTGATCGGATGGAATCGTATTGGTAGCAAGTTTCCTCCCGATGTGTCGGTGATAGTACAGAGGTTTCTCTAGTAGTGGTAATAGTATTAGTTGTGTAGTAGTAGTATAGCAGTAGGGTGTACCTTACTCTGGTGAGCGGAGGCCGCTGTCAGTTCTCCCGAGACCATAGGCTCGAGCCATCGCGAGATCTCCCTCTGCTGACGATATCACCTTTTCTCGGCTATCTGTAGCGCAAAGCGGCTCGTCAAGACACCACACACCACCACTGTGTCTCGTCCTCGCTTCGTCTCCTCCTTCCATTTCCTCCTCCTCCTTTTCCTCCTCCCTACTCCTCCTTCTTCCTACCTTCCTCTTCCTCCTTTAAACTTAAATATAAACGAAACGCCCGCTCGTCGTCATCCTTCGAGTCGCGTGAGTGGGTAGTGCGCGGGGACAGTTCTTTTCTTTTTTTTTTTTCTTTTTTTCTTATTTTATGATTCTTCCAACTCTCACGGGAAGATTTCTACGTCGTCGTCCTCGTCCTCGTCATTTAATATCGAACTCGATTCGCGGAAGTGACAGTGAGATCGCCGAATATTATCAGTGAGGAAGTGTCAAGTGGTTAGGAAGTTGCTACTATTCTAGTACTACTACCACTACTCAACTATTATTATTATTATTCTTATTATTGCTCCTATATTACTACCTACACATCTACCTACCTATCTACCTTTCTTCGTTCTCTACAGGCTCCTACCTGTCGGTCAAGGTTGAACCGTCTGAACTGGAGCCGTAATAAGGTATGTCCATTTTTCATAACTTCACGTATTCATTGCGTTTGGTCAAATACAACGGTACTTTTTTTTATATTTACGTATAGGCACCTGGGGATTATCGATTACTTATGATCAGACGCATACTTTGATCGTACGGTCAAAGAAATCCTTCGATTGTGTAAATTGATCAGTATCAATGACCGGTATGCACTCGTTCACCTGATTATTTACCGTACCGTTTCTCGACTTGATTATATCATGTACAGTCATGCCGAATTATTATTTTTATTTTATAATAATAAGTAGCAATTAATTTCAATTTGAATTGAGTATTATTTTCTTCGATATTTCTATTAGATTATAATAGAAATAGGTAATGTCAAAATTTGTAATCAAAACTATGACCATATTATTGTTTTTTTGTACGATAAATTAAGTAGTTTGTTTGAGAAGAAAAAAATGACTATAGAGATCGTAACTTGCATAAAGTTTCTCGATGATGACGTAGCTGTGGTTGACATTAAAATTGTACTCTCTCTTTCTCTTTAACTTTCGTGACGTCAACGAAATAACGCGCGCCTACGTGTGAATGTGTGGGTGCGTTAAAGCAAACGAAGACCGATAATTTGTCAGTCTATTATTTATAGGATTAGAGACATTTAACTTGCGATTATGCGAATAAGACTCCGTCAAGCACAGGTGCAGCTTCGCTAATCCTTCTTCGTTTAGCACGCGATGCATCACTTTGTGGCAGGTTGTTTCGCGCTGTTTATGCTCCAACCTTCGTCATTCATTTTATTATATTCTTATCTACTATTTTTTTCTCTCTTATTATTGTTCGCATAGTTTACGCTTGTCTTACCTATGTATTTTATTTTATTTTTTTCTTTTTAACAAAAGAGAGAATTCACACATTTATCTTATACTTTTTTATAATATCTATAAATTAAAATATATTAATCTTTTTTTTTTTGAGATAATATCATTCAAGAGATATCAAATTAAAAATATTTTTAATGTAACTTTTTTTAAAATAAGATTTTAATAGTACATAATTGTCGTACAAATTATTCTCTTTGTGTAGAATGATAGTAGAACAAAGTACAATTGTTCGAGTAATCATTTTTAACAATCGCAATGTTAAAATAATTGTTCTAGAAATGCTGTATAAGCAGTAACGTAATTTCTTTATTACATTATGTTTACATACTTATGTTAGATAGTTGCAAGAGACAGTGATGAAACGGGTGGTAATTAACTGAGATAATGGATCGTTTCGCGCTTGTCATCTCGGTGAACTAGTGTCACGGTGAATACGATAATTGTGACATTACGTCTCTTACGTTTAAATAAATAGCCACGTAATTCATTTCTCGTGTTGTTACGATGACGTTTTTAGTTTCCGTAAACTTGTCAGCTTTAGTAGAATCATAGAAAACGATTTGAATGTTAATAAACGACGATTAAATAAAAATATGATGATAAAGATGTTTGGCAATAGTACAATCGGATTGTTTGGTGTTTATCGGTCGCGTTTCACAAAGAAGACGACGAACGGGAATGACCTAGGAATCGAAGCATCGAAAAACCGTTGCATTGTGACACGTAGAGTGTTTAGTCGTTGAACCAGCTTTACTGGTTTCCTAGCAATGCCACGTTAAGGGAAACTAGCTCGTTCGTTCTAATCGTATTTTCTAATCTTTCCGTATTCCAACGTGAAACATCGACGGTCTGTACTTTAGTGGTTTCTTTCGATAAAGAAGAACTAAGTTCGCACGATAATTGTTAGAGTTAGAAATTACGATTCTAATTAATTAATTGACTGACTTCAACCTTTTTTTTGTTATTATTTTGACATTACTTTGTTGTATAGAAATAGACAAAAAATTGAAGATTAAGTAAATCGATTTTATATAAAATATTGTAGTATTGTATAGTAAGGATGAAATATTCGAGGAAGAGAGCAAAGTTACTCTCGCTTTCTTGGAGGAACGATCATGATAGTAGAAGCAGCAGCAGCAACAGCAGCAGCATCAGCAGCGTTCCTTCGTCCACGAAAGACGAGGATGACAACGAAGAATCGCGAGGAGCTTTCTCGGTCGAGCGAGCAAACGTACCGACAAAGTTGCGATTAAAGTTGCGCTACAGGGCTCGCCGTTGACCGTGGTCGTTACACAGCCGCTAATGCTTTAGTATTCTCGCAAAAAGCAATGACGCGTTCTAATTGCTCGACATTCTTGCTGCGAATGTTGCTCGGCTACGAACGTTACGTCATTCTTATTCTTCATATTTCAACTTGTATAGTTTTACGAAAGGGAGTTCTGTCGACGAGTAGAATGGAGAGTACAAAAATCATTATACTAGATTTGTAGAATTTTCAATTTTATGCACACTCCTATTATTGTTTTCTTCATTATTTCATAAATTATTCAACGTATAATCTCGATGGAATAAAAATTTGGAATTTTTGTCTCGATGTGTTTCGATAAAAAGTCAAATCTATAATACATTTCCAGCGTGAAAGTTAACTAGATTCTAAGCGGGGGCGGTTTCGGTGATTATCTGAGAAAGGAGAACTGGAATCCGATAAAGTTAATCTCCGATCTTGGAAAGTAGAGGGCCGTTTCAGCGACTGGCGTGAGCATCACGATCTGAAAATCCCGTCACATCGTCAAGTGGTTTCCAGGAAACATCGGATTCCTCCGGCTTAATGCGAACCTGTTCGCTCGAAACGGCCGTCCTACGCCGAACAATAGGTGTAGGCATAGGCGTGGGTGATGCGCCGAGGTATACATGCATACATATATACGAAGGAGATCTGGCCTTATACGATCCGGCAACAAGATAAGCTTGGGATACATTTACGTATACAGGGTGAACAGGGTGAACGGTATAACTTGCGAATGTTAACATCAAAACACAAAAATAAATATAATGAAAAAGTATTCATAAATGAATTCAAACAAAATGTAAACAATTTGGTTGTCATATCAGATGATAAGATTTTTCTACCTGAGGAATATTTAAGAGGGGGGATGTTTGAAAAGGTTCACCTTGTATAGAACGGCACGTAAACATATGTTGAACGACGCCCGCCGAGGAAGGGTCTCAGGTCTGGCACGGGGAAGAGAGTATACTAGAGAGATCGTTTCATATTTTACAATTCGCGTCCGAATCAATGCTGCCGTATATTCCATAGGACGGCCGTGTCGGCACGAGGCATGATATTTAATATTTCATACGGTTCGACCTGTCGTGCGTACCAAACATACTAGTATCTCTCGAATCGTGCGATTCGCGATGCACATGCAGTACTTTCAGCGTTAAATATTTCTACAGTTTTCTATTAACTTGGAATATTGTATTCAAGTAACGTTAAACTATTTTTTGCAATTCCAATTTTTCTATATATCTATTTGTATTTTTAAACTTATTATTTTTTACAAGGCATCAATAGTAGTACCGTATGAAAGTTCCCATGAAAATACTTTTTATTTTTATATATAAACATGAATTTTTCAATAGAAAGGATAAGTTAGTCATTCGATCTGATGAATCTGTCAGATAAAATCGAATATTCGATCCACGAGGATATGAAAGATCTTCCATCGGGATAGACTCCTCAGCAACGTGTCGAGCGTGGAATTTAAACTCGTAATTTACCGTCGTGTTATCCTGATTTTACAACCTGACGGAAGGTACCACCTTGAAAAGGATGCTCTCTTCGTAGTGGCTTTACGTAGGAAAACTGGGTGCCTCGCGTACATGCATATACATACATAGTTGGTACGTTGGAGAACGAGAGGATACACATGGTGGATTGGCACGAACGAACGAAGGGGGACGAAAGAAGAGGGCAGGGATTAACAGGTTGCAGCCCGAGTTAGAAAGAGAAAGAGAGAAAGATAGAGGGAGCGAGACACGTAATTACGTTCGTTACGTCGCGTTACGTACGTTTACTCTGCCGAGCATGGGATACTTCGCTCGGGGAAGTCGTGCTGGATGCTGAAGTAGAAGGAGGAGGAGGAAGAGGAGGAGGAGAAGGAGGAGGAGGAAGAGGAGGAGGAGCGAGACACGTAATTACGTTCGTTACGTCGCGTTACGTACGTTTACTCTGCCGAGCATGGGATACTTCGCTCGGGGAAGTCGTGCTGGATGCTGAAGTAGAAGGAGGAGGAGGAAGAGGAGGAGGAGAAGGAGGAGGAGGAAAAAGATGAACGGGGAAAGAACGAAGAAGAAAAGCCGCCGTAGAAAATCTTTCGTTCGACGAGAAGTAGGAAAGAAGGAAGCAAAGAGAGAATGAAAGAGAGGTAGGGTAGAGGGGTAGGAGGGAGAGAGAGTGTAACATGGCTAGCCGGTCTTTGCCGCGTTCTTGAGGAATTTTTACGACTCCTTCCATTTTCTCTCTCTCTCTCTCTCTCTTTCTCTTTCTCTCGGAAGCCTCGCAGGAATAGGAGGAATAGAGAAGGTCGGAATAGAAGGGTTGGCCGCTTAGGGCGAACCTAAGAGATAACGTTTGTGCCATGAAGAGCAACAGGGCCCACTTGTGGCTTTATTACTTTCACGTTTAAGCAGCTATTAGCGGTGATTCTCGCGACGGCGAGGCAGACTCGCCGCATCCCTCCTACGATTTTTCTTTCTCTTTTTAGGGGGAGAGGGCTTTTTCTTTTTATATTTTTTATTTTACGTCCCCTTTATATAGAAGAGCTCACCGACTCGCTTGCTCTCGCCTCTTTGTTCGCACGTCGATTCAGTGTAAATATGTGCCGCTTTTAATTTCCTACCCAGCCACAAAACCCTTCTACCATCTCCTATTAGTCTAATGATGTAGTCCTGGACAACGGCAAAGGGGCCCGACTTAGACGACTTTTCGACGTATAACAAATTTCCCTTTTTTTTTATCGTTGTATTTAACTTCGAACTTACCGGTTACAAAACGATCGTAAGATTTTTCATGTTTTTTGATGGAATAGTATTATGCATACACGTATGTGTATGGTTGCATGGAAATTTATAAAAATGAC